TTTTTGGAGCAGCAGCAAGCCCCAAATTACCTACTCATTATTCATTAAGGTATTAATTTGGTACATGGCCGGCCTTACCAATCAAAAAGAAGATATCTGATGAATTTTGGTTTCAACTTAAATGATGCGTTACCTATTCTCATTCTGTGCAGATCAGGCAACACAATTCGGGCTGATTGAGAAACTGCTATATTGAAAGGCATCTCATTAGGTGCAAAAAAAAAAAAATAACACGGCACGGTGAAGCAAGCCAAGCGTAGCACCCAGCTAATTAGGCATGCATTTATTCAAAATCGTAAAAAACACACAAAGGCAGTCCTGAGCCGGAGAGGAATGGAGACAAAGGTAATCTTGACGGGAATCACGAGTAAGTCGTCAGACATCTCGTAAGCGATTTTGACCATTATTTGCTATGCTATTCATACGCCCACTAGGTAGAAATATTAATGAACGGCGTTTGTCATATTTCATTCTAGAAGAAAAGAAAAATCTGGATGAGGGAGCACGTGTAGGTATAATGCCTTGCTAATGTGTAAGAGTAAGTCGTATGAATATGGAAATGCACGCAGCCTTCAAACACCAATCACCTATCTCAGAGGACAGCTCCCGGTTGGAAGGCAGCGGGGCAGCAGAAAAATAAGTCAACAGGTGAAGCCGATCGTTACGGCTTTTGTTATATTCCCTTTCCGTGGGCGCCATGCGCTGTGCTGGGCTGAGTGAACCAGGCAACACTGCTGCATTTTTCATGCAATGCTTTGGGGAGAGTAGGAGACGTCCCGTGCCATATACCAACAAAGCATTTTACCGAAACTGAGAGATATACACCATCTATAGCACCTTGGAAGCACCCCTATCTTCATTGAAGGTCACCTTCATCACCAAGTGCACCCCCATCTCAAAAGCAAAAGCTACGTCCCTGTGTGCCACTGTTCTGCCCGAAATAGATAGAGACATGGGACTGCACTGCACAGTGCACGCCTTCCCGCCATCCCGACAGCGAACCAGCTGGGTTCGGGCTGTCAGACATCCCCGTATAAAGCCAGTGAGGGGAGGAAGCTGCCGAAGCTCCCGGGCCGATCTTCTACGAACTGACAGCGCCGAGGGAGAGGAGCGCCGCCCGCGGGTCAGGCGGCCCCTGGGAGCGCCCGGCGCCGGTGACGCAACCCAGGAGGCCGGCTGGGGAAGGACCGCGCGGCGGCGGCGGCGCCGTGCCATCTCCCCGCCTCGAGGGATCATAACAGTTGGCGGCGGGCGCGAGACGAGCCGCGCGGTGAGCCGACCCCGGCGGCGGGACAGGCCTGCGTTACGCCTGGTTACACCACCCGAACATGGTCAATAGCCATTAGCCGGTGACCTACGGCCGCTGGCCACGCGAGGGTGGCGCTGGCGACGTTGGTGCGGAGAGGAGCTGCGCGACGTGACAGCCCGGGGTCACTCTGTGCTGGGGAGACATATATGGCGACCCTGTGCTGACTGCTGGGGAGATGAGGCTCAGTAAGAATGGGGGAGATGTTGTCTTGATTCCTGATCGGACAAACTATCTGCGCATAGGGAGACAGTAGCGGCGGAACATCTTCAATTAAGGGGGGGGGGGGACACTGCCGACTTTTGGTCCCATTCTTTCCATGCAACGCCCATAGGGCTAATGTTAAAATAGCAAAATCAAAGGGGGGCACGGTGCCCCGGTGCCCTCCCCGTTCCGCCGCCTACGTAGGGAGATGGTAATGGTATATGCGACTCCGTGCAAACAAAATATGAGAGACACAGTCAAACGAATGATAAAGCTGAGGCCTCTTGCACCAAATTACCTAGCTAGGTAGAATCGGCAAAATAGGTACCTACCTAGTAAAAACTACATACGACGGTAACTTCTCTTGCATCATTCTATAGAGTCTGTTCCACAGTAGCGGCGGAACACCTTCAATTAAGGGGGGCACTGCCGACTTTTGGTCCCATTCTTTCCATGCAACGCCCATAGGGCTAATGTTAAAAGGCCAAAATCAAAGGGCACGGTGCCCTGGTGCCCTCCCCGTTCCGCCGCCTATGCTGTTCCACATACGCGTAGGAAGTAGGAACCATGGGTGCAGTAGGTGCAGTTGCACCCACAATAATTCTCCAGTGGGTGCAGACAATGTAGATACTCTGCACCCACAATAATCTGGAGCAAAAACCCATTTTCTCATAAACACTACTTCTCAGTTCTCATGCAGCACGAGAAATTCAGGATACCTATTTCGCCTACTATCCATCTTTCGAAGCAGTTACTGCTGTGATTGATGGTCTTACTGTGCTCAAGTTAAAAAAAAAGAAGAAACGGAAGACATGTAAGTGAACATACCTATACCGACGACCCACTGTCAAAAGTTTCAAAGCGATATGTGTTCGAAAATGGCTAAGTTAGCCCTTTTTGCAGTAGTCAATTTACAGTTGCGTGAATTGTTAATATACTTTTCGACGTAATACCAGTATAACCGGCCCCCGGTCAACAGACATGGTAGCCCAAATCTAGTCGGATATGAAAATTCTTCTAAATCCATAGACTTTAATGCTAAATTGACTATATTTGAGAGGGTTTTATGAAGATCCATGACCAGATACAGAAAAAAGCTAGATGCTATCTTGTAGATTAAATCGTATACTATCTGCGACTTTTGAACTGTTTATCAATCTGAGGTACGGAAATCGTGTTCCCAAGAGACTGAAAGTAGCCATGCTTTACATTAGACCCAATGGCAAAAATTCGGAATCTGACGAAATTGTCCATTTTTAAGACTGATTTATGAAAATTCCAGACAGGACATATAAAAACCCGAGATACTATCAGGTGGGAAATTTCATTGTCTATTACTGCTTTTTGAAGTGTTTTTCGATCTGAGACCGGCAAATCGTGTTCCCAAGAGACTGAAAGTAACCCTGTTCTACAGCAAGACAATGGCAGAATTCTAATATTTGATGGAAGATATCTTAGGTGATAATAACCTTACTACTAATTGCAATGCTTCATTGGAAAACTCAACACTGGCACTATCATCGGTCTTTGCATTGCTATTTCACAGAACAACAAGAAATAAAGTTTTGAAGCCTTTGAATATTGACTTACTTTTCATCGACGGGCTCGATCCTCATCACCACCAACAATTTTCCGGGAAGTCAGGATTTTGCAGATATTTAAGCAGAATTGCAGAGCTGTGTTAATACTACGGCACTTAAATACACATATTAAGAAAACTGTTTTTTTTTTCTAGCATGAGTTAGGTCTCAGAAACAGAAACATGTCGATATATTGGGGAAAAATAAGTGCAAATGATCGCGCAAGAGATCCTTAGCTCCCTAGCAACAACCTAGCAACGTAAGGCAAAATAGTAAACAACTCCTGTTGATATCAGGTATTTATCCTTGGAAGCACACTAGACGGTCACCATACTGGGCTTCATACTGAATTTTGCATACCAGAATGGATGTTTCCAACTAAAATTATTTTTTCGCGAAATTTATCTTTGTTGCCCTACTATTTTTCGTAAAACCGAGATATACAAACTTCATGATATTAAAAATAATATTGTGATAATGAAAACCGCCATATAAAACAAGATAATTGCTGAGATCATGCCTACTAAACTTGGTCCTACCCCCTAATAGTATAACGCCTTTTGGGGCGAATAACGGAGCAAGCGAGAGGGTGGGCCTTGCACGTGCGAAATTGCGAGGGGTACCTCCAGCTGACTTGTGCACGGCACCCTACTAACCGGTCTCTAGCGATGTGCCAAATTTGAGCACAATCGGCTCAGCCGTTCTCGAGATCTGGAAGCGGCACCCTGCACGTGCGCACGTGCAAAATGGGCCCCAACTGACTTGTGCACGGCACCCTACTAACTGCTCCGTAACCGTGTACCAAATTTGAGCGCAATCGGCCGAGCCGTTCTCGAGATCTGGAATCGACCCCTGCACGTGCGCACGTGCAGCAGCACCCAACTCTGGCACATGGATATGCATTGCCTAGTGGGTGCCTACCTACATGCCAACTTTCAACGCAATCGGCCCAGTAGTTACCGATATATTGCAACTATTACAAAAGTGACACCTCTTCGTTTTGCACGTGGCACGTGCATAAGGGGTCACCCACATGCATCCAAGGCCCTAAAACATATGCATCGGGAATAGTCCAATACTTGGTAGAAGAAATGAAGCTACCCTACAAAAATTACCGCATGTAAATCGGTCAAGTGGTTGCTGAGATATAAGCGTCGTAGAATCGTGAACACGGCCAGCCGGCCGGCCGCTCATACTCAGAAATTTCCGTTATTCTACGTAAGACTCCGCTCGCTTCGCTCGGCCTCGCTCCGTAATAAAAGCTCGCAATGAGCCTCCGCTCGAGTGTCGCTCCCTCCCCCCCCCCCCCCCACCGCTTCACCGGCCATGGTTGTCCTGCACCCATGCACCACAATGTTCCAGCCGTTTCTACGCCCATGCTGTTCCATACCAAGCTTGCGGTCGGATTTTCTTCGGCAGATCGCTCATGTAGGTACCTACTCTCGCTCATATGGCATCGGATCGCTTCTCCGCTCAAGAATTTGCGCCGTAAGTTGTATGAGCAATATATACAGAAATCACGCACTGCTTTCAGCAGGGCACTTCGGCCGCAAGCTTGGAGTTATTTATAGTCACCGTGCTTGGAGTATACCTATCCAAGATTACTTTACTACTACCTACTACCTATCTACCTAGGTAAATTTTACAACTCGCGTTTTCAGGATTGGATGTTCGGCGGCCTTGGGCAGAAAAAAGGTGCTAGAAAACGAACAAAAAGGAAAAAAATTAAAACGTATTTTCAACTTTCAGTTTCACTATAGCTTCCAATAATTATTTCGAATGCATATATATATATCTTTATTTAATGAAAAGAATGAGTAAAATTGAATTATGTGGTTGAGGTTGCCATGACAACAAAGTGGTGTATTTGGCCGCTTGCGCCGCTTGTTTCAAAACTATACCGAATTCATCCTTCGCGTGCTTCGCGTCCCTTGCTATTCATATGATAATTCTTAACTAGGGACTAGGGGGGAGGAGCCTTAACTAGGGGAGAGGTACTATTCATTTTCAATCAAACGAGCAAAAGATAAGTACAACTGGAGATGAAACGCATAATTGCGGAGCAGAAAAAGCTGGAACTGTTTCAGCTCATCCGTGATGAACGCAAGGTAAGTGCATGCTATCCAAGCTAGGAGCTAGGGTTTTTTGACGAGGCTCTTTCTAGCTCATTTATATTGCGATAATTTCGATGCATGAGTGATCTTCGCATATTTAGAGAGTAGGCATCATTTTATAAATTATAATGCACCACTTGCATCCTTTGCAACATCACGGTTGGAGCTATAAGCTTGCAACAATCCCTATGTAGGACCTAAACGTGCTTGATAATAATGTGATGATTGATGTGTACCTAGGTATTCAAGCTCTTAGCTCAGAGACAATGATACAATTCTTATATTTTTCCGGGGAGGCATTTTATTAAAAAAAGAGCGAACATGCACTTAGACATATTTATAGGTACATACTCGCCCAGGGGCGTCGCCGACGGGGGGTCGGGGGGTCGTGACCCCCCCCCCCCCACTCTTGAAAACTGGGGGTGTCGACCCCCCCCCCCACTTTTTGCGATGCTGAGTATGCTTTTTTAGCTTTTATGTCAGTGAAGCAGGCGTCAGCAACACCAACAAATACATCACATTCAGAATCGCTTCAAGAGCTCCCTAAAGCCAATGAGCCAATTACCTAAAGTTCAATTAGCTGTGGGCGGGGAACACCAGCACAACAATATTCTTAAGTAGCCACCATTCTAGTACCTTTTTACCCCTCAAAGGATTGGACGCGCCAAAACTGCCCCGAGCGTTCGTCTGATCGTTAAAAAAATGGTCGCAGTCGATTCGTCGGATCAGTACCTAACTACAAAACTACAAACTAGCCTCAGCCTCATGGCTACCGTCATAGCTGTACAGTGCACATGTAGGGGGAAAGGGAGTCAGATGAGACCGTCTCGGGCTTTCGCAAAGAAGTCGCGCAAAAAGGAGCCGATTGCAACGAAACTTCCGGTGCGCTCGAGTTAATCACCTATTTAAAAATAAATCGATATCCCTGATTCAAATAAAGATGACCTTGGTTCACTTTTTATAACATGCTTTTAATTTAGGTATAGGATAGTTTTTGGAGCTGATTTTGAATTTAGCGCCCATCTGAACATTTGACCCTCGCCGGCACAAGGGGGGGGGGGGTTGATGCAACCCCCCCCCCTAAGGTTTTTCGCTAATAACTCGCGTAAAAGCGGCGGATCGCGACGAAACTTTCAGTACCCTCGCATTGATCAATGTTACACCTACCCTAAAAATTTCATGACCCTGACCCAAATGACCTTTGACCTGTGACCTCTTTTCCGGGACCATGTTTGCCCGGATTCGCGATTCGGCGTATGTCGGCTCGCATTAGCCCCGCGTTTGCAAGCTTTTCGTGGTTTCAAACGTTCAAACATGTGATTTGATGTTGCTTCCATACATTAGGGTGGGTGTCAAGGTCACCCGAAGGTCAGGTCAGGTCATTGACCTTTGGTGACCTCGTGTGACCTCGGTTTACTTTTTCGAGTTTTACATGTTTCTATGCTAGTTTTTGGAGCTGAATTCGAATTTAGCAACCATTTGAACATTTACGAAGTAGTTTTGGTGCCTTCGTAATATGTTACGAAGCTGTCAGAGGCGGTTGACACGTATTACGAATACACGTCACAACCCCTACCGGTTGACCTGACCTGACCTGACCCGACCTGGTCTAAATGCTTAAAGACATCATCTCTGATCAAAACTAACACGATATTCGTGATCAGCACCCCGGAAAACCACATAACAGCCACACTTCAAGACTTTCTAACAGGTCCCGATATTCCCGATTTTTGGGTCATTGACCTGACCTGGAAGGTCAACCGATTACCTAGGACCTTAAAATTGGGTACCATTGGCTTCCTCTCGTGACGGGCAGCACGCTCGTTTTTTTTCCACGAAGCTCTAGCTCCACCAGGGGCCAAACGCGAGGGGGGTCGTACCACCCCCCCCCCCCCCTCCCCTTGTGCCGTCGAAGGACTCAAAATGGCCTGTGCCGGCGAGGGTTAAAATACAGCTTTTGAGGCCAGCTGATTTTCCCACATCGATACGTAAATTGTAGCCTGGAAGCAAAATATAGAGCCAGAAGATTATCGTCATCACGAGTCCAGTTACGTTGTAGCACACACGGGAATTCATATAGGACAACCCTGAAAGACGCAGGATGGGGGGGGAAGGGGGTCAGAGAATAGAGATGGACGCGGGCGGATCAGAGACGGAATCAGAACCTTCGGAGGCATTCCCCCCAAAAAAATGTTCGTCATTTTCAAAGAGTCCTCGAATATCACTTCTTCGCATGCTTCTGCGCCCGTAACATTTTTATTATGATAAATGCTACCATTACCTATAGTTTGCCATTTTTAAACTTCTCTAGGCCGAGGGAGCGACAACATTGCGTTGTCATTGGAGGAGACATTGGAGGAAAAGTTATTCCGATGCCAATAGATTCTTGAATTACAAACTCATCGACCACGTTGTGCAGTTTAACCAGTTGTGCAGTTTTTCGCCCGTATTGGTGTTTTTCCAGCCGTGAACGTATAAGGGGGGGGGGGGGAGGTCATCCCTTGCCGTTTCGCCCCTGATGGCCTTGATCGAGCTAGAGCTTCGCGAAAAAAACGAGCGTGTTGCCCGTGACGAGAGGAAGCCAATGATACCAAATTCTAAGGTCCTAGGTCATTGGCTGACCTTCCAGGTCAGGTCAATGACCCAAAGGTCGGGAAAATCGGGACCTGTTAGAACGTCGTAAAGTGTGGCTGCTAAGAGATTTTTCGGGTGCTGATCACGAATATCATGATAGTTTTGATCGCAGATGATGTATGCATGCATTTAGGCCAGGTCGGGTCAGGTCAGGTCAGGTCAACCAGTAGGGGTTGTGACGGGTATTCGTAATACGTGTCAACCGCCTCTGACAGCTTCGTAACATGTTACGAAGGCACCAAAACTACTTCGTAAATGTTCAAATGGTTGCTAAATTCGAATTCAGCTCCAAAAACTAGCCTAGAAACATGTAAATCTCGAAAAAGTGAACCGAGGTCACCCGAGGTCACCAAAGGTCAATGACGTGACCTGACCTTCAGGTGACCTTGACACCCATCCTACCGCATTGGGCAGCATCATATCACATGTTTGAACGCTTGAAGCCACAAAAAGACTGCAAACGCGCGGCTAATGCGGGCCGACGTACGCCGAATCGCGATTCCGGCCTAACATGGTCTCGAAAAGTATAGGTCACAGATCAAAGGTCATTTGGGTCAGGGTCATGAAATTTTCAGGATAGGTGTAAAAGTGATCAACTCGAGGGTACTGAAACTATCGTCGCGATCGGCCGCTTTTTACGCGAGTTATTTGCGAAAAACCGAGGGGAGGTCCGTTCAACTCCCCCCCCCCCCCGCTATACGGGCGAGAGTTAAGGCAAACTTTTAGTGCCGTAAAGTGGGGCTATTTGAGACAGTGGGGCTATTTGAGACAGTAAGGTAATGGTATAGTAAAATCGCTGTAAAATGAAAACCGTTTGATGTTTTTTCGTCATTTTTGCTTAGGCTAATGTGGAATTGAACAGTGAATGCTCTGAATAACCTTTTTGAAAATTTTGAAAAGTTCTGAAAGAAATTTGCAATAAAATACGAAATACAGAAAAACGCACAATTTAAGTTGCTCGAAAAGGACCCCTACCTGCAGCTTAAAAAAGTTGAAGTTTTAACAGAGCTCGCCACTGTATCTATCGTTACTACCTTTTTGCTTATAGGCTAAGCACATTTTTCATGAAAATATTATATATTGTTAACGGTACCGCCGATTGCGTAACCCATTGTCTCAGAATCCCGATGATGCCCACCTGGTCAAACCTCAACGGATATGCCAAATAGCTGATGATAGCGGTTTAGCGATGCACCCGAGAAGACTTACCGCCATCTACCTGAAGTGCATCGAACGTTCGACATAAGCAACACCGGTGAATCGGTCGTGGTCATAAACGTGCAGTGGGTTCATGGTAGGTACTTTTAGCAGCAAGCAATATTACATGTTCGTAGTGTAACATAATAACCCTTTAGCTGGTGACCAAACTAGTTATTCTGATGAATATGTGCTTAAAATGTGCTTCATCAGTCACTGACTTATCCGACAATCAACATATGTCTACCTTGGTTGACCAAAAACACCATTGAGTGTTACTTAACACATGAACGTATTGTTAGGTGAGCCTATCCAAGTACTTGATGTGGTAGGGTAACAGGCCAATTGATACAGCATGCAGCGATCGAGGAAAATCGGCATAAAATCAAAACAGTTTAACATTTTTCTGTTATTTCTTCGCATGGAGATGCACAAAGGAACAAACAATCATGCAGACCATTCACTCAAATGTTTTGGGAAACCTTTTGCCTTGTTTGATTCATTACAGTGTGTTTCATAAGGTAGCGAGACTGTCTCAAATAGCCCCACCGACTTTCGGTATATCTGTTTTCACGTCACCGGGGCTATATACATAAACTTACTTTCAAAATTTTACTGTCGATGACTTTGAAATAGTCCTTGATGATCATCCTGTCAGTTTGAAAGCTATGGGTCGCATCATATTATGATAGCCTTAGCATATAATGATGCAATTTTATACCCTACCGAATTGAAGTGTCCTACGAAAAAGGAAAAGATTGAATATAAAGGTCATATAACAGTCTTTGAAGAAAACAATTTTTGCCAAAATGAACAAAACTCAATTTCCAAATGCATGGCGTTTAAAAATTATCTCTAGCGTGACCGATTTTCTTTAATTTCTTTGCAACTAAAACTGTCTCAAATAGCCCCACCCTATGGGGCTATTTGAGACAGGCTTTAACATAAAAAATAACCTTAATCATTATTACTAGCTGAACCAAAATACACCTATATGAAAGAGCTCACAAAGAACTACATTTTTGCAATTTACATGCTATAAGAAATATGAACCGTCTTAAAGGGAGAGGCCAAAAACGGTAAAATCCGTTTCAAATAGCCCCACTTTACGGTAGGGTAAGGTGCCTAATTAGCGACCCCCTTAATTTGAACCGTCATTGCTCACGCTCTGTGGGTGCCACTCTATTACTGGCTTGATTTTCGGAGAGGTCGTTCATTTTTCTATTAAAATATAGTCATTTTCTGTCCCAATGTTCACTAACTTATTTGTAGTGAGCATTTTGGCAAACCACTGCAAAAAACGCTAATAGGGAACTCTTCCCGATTAGCGACCGGGGAGGGTCGCTAATAAGTCTATGGTTTCCCCATATTAAAAGTTGCAAAAAAATGCGACGCCTGAAAAGCTGAAATATGATCTAAAAAAAAAGGTAACCTATACGCAAAGCACTCAATCACTCGAACAGGAACGTTTATCCAACACATTTACGTAAGTAAAACTGGTCACGTGATGCACCGAAGGCGAAAAGAAGGCGGAAACCCAAATTTTGCGGGCTATCTCGTATGATATTCGAGGTCCGCGCTGAATTCGGCACCCCTGCAGTCGGTGACGACATTTGACATCCCCTGCCACACATTCCAAGCTTCAGCAACACCTCATTTTAGTTTCTCTCTTTTCCCCTTTCTTTCCCTTCTTGAGCTATTTGCGACCATGTCAGGCGCAAATAGGAAATATGAGTTACGACACATTTTTAACCGCCATGCTGTGCACAGTTAAGCGATTTACTATGGGAAAACGGCAATCAATTGAAAAAGGAATGTCGATTCAGAATAAAAAAGGTGCATCATCCTAATGTGCATCGCTTTTCATCAGAGAGGGCCCAAACACACACGTTTTGGATAATAAACTCGTCATTTTTATTTAAACTCACCTGAAACGTCCCACCAGAAACATCGACAACCGTAAAATAATGTACTTTGATAACCAAAGTATGGCTGACCTTTTGACGCTGTTTTTGCCCCGTTTTCTCCCGCCAGTTTTTCTGTAGGGAGGTAGGTCGCAAATCGGAAAGGGTCGCTAATTAGGCACCTTACCCTATGTATTATAATTTGTTTGTTTTTCTACAAACTAAACAAATCATTTGCAATGGTGAATCTCGGGAGGCCGAGTACTTATGATGCCGGCTTTATCTGCTGGTGAATTTTGCCTGATCACCTACCCAATAGATATGGAAATAAAGCGTGTCAACGTTCTCGTTTTCCAGACGCTTTATGGAGAGTTTAAGGGCCCCAACGCCCGCTCGCGTAGGCTTCAAGAATGGGGTCGCATACGCGAGCGGGCCATTCAACTTGGCCTGATAAATGACGCAACATCGACGCGAAGCATGTTGCAGGGTGTCATAAAAAACACCCAAGACCGGACAAAAAGTGAGTAACCATTAATACCACCACTTCACAGCAATTCAGCACACTGCAGTGGCTAGCACAATAGAATTTAACCAAATAACGCACCTTATATGCAGACTTCAATTTTCTAAGGCGTTAGTTCGTAAGAAATTGGTCGATATCCCCCAAAGAGCAAATATTCACGCCGTACACTTACCTCTGCTGCAGAAAAATTCCAGCAGAAGAACCAGTCGGGTCCAGGTGCAGTGGTCTGGACCGAGCTCGACGACACCGTCATGGATTGCTTGGGTATGTTACTTTCAGCCTTCAGATGTAACGGTAGTAGTGTTGGGAATTGGGATGGCACCCCTTCTCAGATGTAACGGTATCTTAATGCATTGTCGTTGGGAGTGAGGGTGGGGAGAGTGGTATATCATGCACATGAGCTAGGAACATGAAAAACAGCACATCCATGACTAATCGGAGCTCCAGCATTCCGGACCTTTGAAAAATACGAAGATATGATACCTATCCCTCGCCAGACCTATTGGTTTTACATACGTCCCGTCCAAAGGGGGATGCGGAGGCAGGGGGAGGGCACCATCCCAGTCCCTCGCCGTTTATCCCCTACTTAATTAGCCCGCGCCGGGCCGGTGCTCTGAGATTCCGCGCCGGGCCGGGGGGGGGGGGTGTTTGAACACCCCCCTTCTAACTCGGCTCCTGGGCCACGTAGCGACACGCGGTAAGCGGCAATCGAAAGAACGTCCAAAATAAGGACGAAAACACTTCGGTCATTTTTTGGTCAGGTCAAAGGTCAGGTCACCAGAGGTCACCAAAGGTAAACTGTTGACTATTTCAACATTTTTGAAACTGCCAACGGCTATCTCGGGAACCGATAGAGCTAAAGCGCCGCGGAAAAACGCATTCGATAGCCCTTTTACAGACCTTTCTGGATAATGTTCTCAGATTTGACCTCCGGTCAACGGTTTAGCCTCTGCAGAGGGCAAAAACTCCAAAAATAGCCGTTTTTACGAAAAGCGTTTTTTTCGGCAATATCTTTTGACTCAAAAGAGCCATGACATAACTTTTGCCAGCATCGTGTTCCTCTCGTCAAGACGCGTCGAATAAACTATAATTTGACCTTGAAAGGTCAATTTGAAAATTTAACCTCAGGTCAAGGTCATGACCTGACCGGAAAAGGTCATGTTGCATAGCAGTCGATCCGCAACGTCGAGCCGAACACATCTAAGGCGTTTTCAGCGCCCTAGCACCTCTCTATCAGAAGTTATTAGCGAAAAACTGTTAGATTCTGTTCGTGACCTGAGATGACCTCGGGGACATAAGGAGGGGTCACAGTTGCCATTTTCCGGTTCAGTGTGTCAATCTTACCTATATCTCGATGTTTGAGAGTGTCTAGAATAGCGTTCGTGCAAAACAGACGCTTTTCAATTTTCTCCCATTGACTTATAATGGAGAGGCCGCAAAATTGACCTGACCTTAGGTCACCGATATCGAAATTCCGAGATACACATTTTATAGATATTGTTGCTCTAATCAATCGCTGAAAGTTTCAAGGCAATCGATCAAGCAGTGTAGCTATGACGAGCATTCTTATTCTTTCTGAGGTGAGGTCACTTGGAGTGACCTGGTGACCTGACCTAAGGCGACCTGGGTCTGAAATTTTCACAACATGTGCGGAAAAGATGCACGAACAGGTGTGCCAAAAACTGCGAAAAACCGCAGGGGGGGGGGTGTTTAAACACCCCCCCCCCCGGCCCGGCGCGGGTTAAGGTAGTGCTGCGGGAAAAACGAGCGTGCGCGCCGTTGCAAGACGCATCGAGTGGTTCCCGATTTTAAAGAAAATATTCCATTTTTACCACGGGATTATGAGCAGATGAAAGAACAGTTTTGTAACCTGAGCTGGGACTATAGTGCAAAACAGGGGCTTTTACTGTTTACAATCACCATAGACAAAGATATTCCATTTTTCGCTCCGAAATAATTTTCCTTATGCAAGCATTGGTGCACGCGTATAATAAGCTTCCGCGAAAAACACTATATAACTATTCAGCCTCTACCAAAGATGGAATGTCGTCCTTCCTATCACAAAATATTTCAAAATTATTGTTGCAAAAATGCTGTGTGTTCTTTATCAGGCATAAGAACAATTCATTAAACTGTAATAAAATAAACTGATTGGGTAGATAAATTATTTTAGAATATCGGGTTTTGGGCTTAAACAAAAGATCAGACATGTCCGAGTTCAAAGGCCAGTTTTACCAACTGAAAAATAGCCGCCTGCCGGAATTTTTGCGTAAAGACCGCTTCACATATGCGGAGTGTAAACGCGATGGGCACGTAAGCGGATAGGGCTTAACCTTTTACGCTCCGTATGTCGGTAAAGCCCTATCCGCTTACGTGCCCATGGCGTTTACACTCCGTATATGTGAAGCAGTCTTTAGGCAAAAAAAAGTCCGGCAAGCGGCCATTTTTCTGTTGGTAAAACTGGCCTCAGCTCTTTTTCTCCTGTGTTAGGAGCTATCGCGACAAAAAAAAAAAAAAAAACTGTGGGATGGCACCCCTTCTCAGACCAGCAAGAGATAAACATCGTAACGGTGAGACGAAAGGGCGCCGAGATGAGAGATCCACTGTCTCTTACATCCCATTCCCGTTGTTTTCACTCCGGCAGGCAGAGACAACTACTACTGACGTCGTTTGAAGTTCCTGGCGGATTACCTGGGGCCAGCTGACGACGAATCAGCAAGAAGCCGTCCCAGAAACCGCACTAACAACCGCGGTAGAAACGTCACCAGCGCCCAGTATCTACTTCACTGCTGAAGACGTCCGGGTGATAGGGCTGGGCACGCCGCTCGCCCAGGCTCCGGCGACCAATGCGGCCCGTTAACCAGCACGGTCCCCTCGACCAGTGTTCGCCACGGGCCGGGCCAGCCCAACGGGCCATGGGCCGGGCTGGGCTACGGGCTGGCCGGGCCCCCAAATATCATTAGTTAACGGGCTATGGACGGGCCGGGCCAAGAGCTTTGTGCACTATGGGTTTTGCGACTAATGTCAATTTAAGAAAATTTGGAAACTGATGCAAACAAAACCCACTGGGAAAATACAAAAACTAAACCAAATTTAAGGAATGTGAAAGAAAACCTACTTGATATTGAATTTTGGGAATCTTGAGAATTATCCAATATCACATCATGTCACACATAGGAGGGTTTTCATAAAAATTCCGCAACCAAACCAAAAGATCAGAAAATCTCTAGCATCATTAGTTTGTAATAAATTAAAATGTAGTCATCAGAATAACTTACTTAGCACTACAACTCCAAAAACTAAGAAGCCACTCAACAATGATGGGCCACAGGGCTACATTAAGTTTAACACTTATATGGCGATAGTGAGACAATTCCAACACAGTCTTTTTCCTTCACCGACGGTTTTTTAATGAACAGAACCTTAAAATATACTCACAAAACACACTGTAAGTAACGAGGAACTCTACAGAGTATTTCGCGATGAAAGCTTCTTTAATGTCCATAAATTTGTCAAAATAAATCACAACAAACCAGCCCCTTCTCAACAAAATTTGCACTATAATGGCGGCGGCCTTATGTTATGTGGCGGCATCTAG